TATCATTTCAGCTTCACCAATAGTTTTTTTTTTTTTCCCAGATTTATTTATTAGAGAGCGCACATATGGAGGGGTGGGGCGTGGGCAGGGGCAGAGGGAGAGAGTGTCCTAAGCAGACTTCGAGCTGAATGTGGAGCCTGACGCAGGGCTTCGTCTCACAACCCTGATACCACAACCTGAGCTGAAACCAAGAGCTGTATGCTTATCCAAATGCACCACCCAGGTGCCCCTTCACCAAGAGTTGAAGAACCAAAGAGATAGTTGAGAACTAAGGAACCAAAGAAAGTTCCTTCTTTACAGTGAGAATTAAGCAAAAGCAAGATAGGCTTCTTACAGGTAAGAACTTTTCAGGTACTCTGCCTTAAAATTTCCAGCACTAGTGCAGATAGCTGTAGTCTCCCACACTTTGTCTCGTTTTTGTGTTTATTTTATATGGTATTTATAATACATTTATAGTACAGTAAGAAATAATTATCCATATTCTTTTCATACTACCTGATCAATATTATTTCTTAATTTCCCCTCCTACACATAACCAAACACACTCCACTCTGCTTTGACTGTCTCACAGATTTACCTATAGGTGACATTCTGACATACAGAGATCTCTTCCTCATTCTATTAGATGTTAGTTTTGAATAAAACATACTGGTTTACGTTACTTTCCATTCACTAATCCAAACCATCAATCCTTGGTTAATATGTAAAATCTTGTAACTTGTCTCTATTTCATTTTATTATTCCTATTCTATATCGAGTACACAGATGCTGTAAGTATTAATCCTCATGCTTTTTTTTTATTTTAGTCTAAGAATTCTTTTTATCTTTGTGAAAAGTCTTATTTTATAGAAAGTCAAATGGGCATAGAGAGATCATATATGCTATAATCAAAAAACAAAGACCCCATCCTTCTTACATGATTTGAGGAAGATTATTAGGTTGAATGTTTCAAATACAGCCTGCAAACAGAACAATGAGATAACTCAATTCCTTACTAGCTTGGATCTAGAAGTAATTTTATGGGCTGTGATGTGATTAAATCAATGGTAGAGAGGACAGTGAATGCCAACTATGAGCAAGTGAAACAATATATAAGACTTGAGTAATATTCCCTCCCTGAATTCATTTACAAGCCAAAAGAACAAAAGGTACATAGTCAAGAAAAGAATATAAGCACACAAAAGTAAACTATGACCCTTTCTGGATCATATTCCAGCAGTCTTAAACCTAAACCAAACAGAAGTTTTTACTGTATATTTAGGGTAAGATGCTATGTGTTCTTGGGTCCCTTTAAATAATCATGGCAGTGCCAGAAAAGAACTTGCTAAAAAAGGTAAGCTTAGACACTGGGATAAATTAGGAAGAAAAGTAGATATGCACTGACCTGCCTATCTTTGTACAACTCTTTGAACCACTGAAACCACTTTTACATTCTTAATCATTTTAGCCCCAGAAGAAACCTCTCAAATTAGGTGAAAGTTATTACTATCTATATTGTGCCATTTGTGGCACAAAGCAGTAATTTTATGGTCCAGATTAAATTTATGGGAGAGTGAACAACAGAAACCAGAAATCACAATCTGTTTTTTAAAAATCACACAGACAAACTCTAAATGCAACCACCACCGATGACACAGGAAATCAGTATCTGAGAAACCAGTGAGAACGAATTACCGCATCAGGTCCTTTTGGAATGATACTATAACCTCTGGATGCCCTCTTCTCAAGCACAAAACTACTGTAATAACATAGGAAGGAAAAGCAAAGACTTGGCCTTACCTGGTAAATCTGAGACTGGAAGCAGGTTAGAAAGCAGAGACAATACAGCAAGGACTGAGAACCATGACAACCTAGTTCTAAGTTCTATTGGAAGAGACTACTTCTCCACAGTGTAATGGTCATCTGTTCTAACACTGTCTCATCTTTCTCTTTTTCACCGGATGTCATGATCAGATCAGAACTATAACTTCAGGAGAAGCAAGTAAGTCTAGTATCTAGGCCTTGTTTTATCTCCATTTTCAATTTCTTCAAATTGTGTATCTGGATCCAAGCCTACTTCTACTAACTGCTAAGTCTACAGGACAAAATATGGCAAAAGGAAATTTAAATTTCTGAGCCTAAAAAACTTATCTATAGTAAGTCTTTCCATACACACACAACAAAAAAATACATACATATATCTTATAAAATCTCTGCACTGAATATAGTGATAGTTACTGAGATAAAGGACAAAGCAAAAGCTGACTTCTAGCATTTTATGAATCGAAATTTCTATTTTCTGGTAACTCCATGCATCTAACTACCCAAAAAGTGTCGTAATGATGGCCAAAAGGTCTTGCCAAATCTTGAAGTACATTCTGAAGCCCCGAAGATTAAACTACAGTGAGTATGATGAAAGGGATTATTTTACTGCATTCCAGTTCTCTGAAAATTGGTAATCTATGTCCTAGTCTTTACTAAGCAATATCCTATCCTTTCATCACAAAAGATAAGAAATTTTTATCACAGCATTTTGCTAAAAACAGTAATTATTATAGTTTCTATTTATGGTTACCTACTCTGTATCACCATTTTCCATGAGAAACTGTCATCAATGAAGATTAGGAATTATGAGATACTCTGGTTTTAGAAGAATGAGACTTTGAGAATGAGACTTGAAGTACTCTTCCTACAGCTATCCTTTGACTTTGTCAGTTTTATTAACTACATAAAGAAATTATCTTAGATGGCAACACACAAAAAAATACAGATGAGGAAATAAGCCCGGAAAGGGTAAGTGACTCATTCAAGATTATATAGCTATGTAAGCAGGAGAACCACCTGCCTTCACAATTCTTTTCTTTGCACTGTATTATCTCTCCGATCTGAAGAAAGAATAGAATAAAGGCATGGTAGTATACTTTGTGTTAAATTTCAAATAGTTTGGCACTGGATAGTTAGCTCATACATCAACAAGTATTTGATACTGCTCACCAAAGAATATATATACTCAAAGTATTCATCTATTACTGGATTCATGCTACTATTCAGGCAAAAAGAGTTGATATATGGTAGAAAACCAAATGATGCACCTAACTATTTCCTTTGTGTACACTTAATTCAAGCATCAATTTTTAGAAGTGTTTGAGAGTTTCCTAGATATTAGTTATAATTGTTAGTTCAAAATCTTAACTACCTCTAGTAAATTATCAAGGCATTTTAGATTTTCCTCTCAAACTGTGATGGGGATAATAAAAATTGTATTATCTTCCTTTGGGAAGAAACAATGGCAAATGGAAAAAGAATTTGATGTTTTATCTCAATATTACCAGTACTCTTTTTTCAATCATGACGTTTCAAGGAAATGTGTATATGAATATAGGTAACAAACATCAAATTCAAGGCAATTTTTCCAAATAAGGTAACCTTTTAAGAGGTACAAGTGATACCAGAAGCTCAATAAGAAACCTAAAATTCAGTTTAGCACCATGGTTAAAAGCACTGACTATGAAGCCACACTACTCCCTGTACGTTTGTCTCCTCATGTATAAAAATGAGAATATAGCTCTACCCCTAGCTCTGAGGTTGCTTTAAAAATTCAACAAGAGAATCCATAAGAGGCCTACCAGTATATGAAAGTAATATCTATTGTTAGTCTGAAATTCGTAAAAAAAAAAAAAAATCGTCAACCAAATAGAATTTAGTATATTCTAACCTCAAATACTGCAGGCCTATCCATTAATTATTAGCCAAAATGAGACTATCTCAGGGAATAAATAAAAACTCAGAGAAAAGACAGGAAATTAGGTACAAATAAATGAGAAAAAGTAGGCCAGGTATCTTTTAAATTCACTTAATTCATTTACTTAACATAACATGCTAGTAATATGCCTTTATCAATAAAAACATGTAACTGGCTTTGTGATAACTGGTAATAAAAAGGGGGCAATACTGGAAAATAGTATATGCTTATCCTCTAAGTAGATGATTCCTTATCTAATGTATCAAACCCAAATTATTAACCATGGGACTCAACCTCTATCAGATTTTACACATTTCAGTCTTCTATTGGAGATTCCTTTGTATTTGCCTTTCTGGGTCAAAAATATGATTCCCCCTTTTCCTCAGGATAATAACTAAATATGCCTGTAATCATCTAGCTACTCAGCCAGCACTCAAAAGGAGACAGATTTCTGAGTGTGCTGTGGCACTCTACCCTTGAGTAGGAAATGCACTTTCCTAAACCCAGTGCACACCAGATAACAAAGGCTTCTACAAGATCATTTATGTATTTTAATAAGCAGATTCGTGACATTCTCACCTTTGACTTACTTTAATCAACTACATCAACAGCCCCCAAAAAACACGAATCATGTTTTCTCTGTTTGATAATGACTGCTTTCCACTGTCCCATCTCAGTCAATCCTTTAACTCTATTGTCCCTCTTCCACCCTCCCTCATCTCTGTTTTATTTTGATTTTCTTATACAATTACCTTTTCCTACTAGACCAGAGCTCTGAGTGGGATTAGGAATCATGTCTTGTCTATCTTTATGTCTATCTTGACCAGCATAGCACCTGTCACAAAGCAACTGCTCAGTAAACATTTAGTGAATAAATAATTATATATATGAAATGTTAATTGAAAAGGATGAAAAAGGTTAACAAAATTAATGATTCTGAAAAAGCCAACTACCAAAACAAAAATCGCAGAAAGAAACCAGATCACTCATTTCAAATCTTAAAAGGCACTATGCTTTTTTTTACACCAGAAGTAGTATTTTACTTCATGAAAATATATTTAGAAATATGGTAACACCATATTCAAGTATATACCTCTCAAAATTTTTAGTGTAATTTGGCAATAAAGCATAAAGTATAATAGACATTCTTAAAAATACAGCCTAAGAAATATAACATTACCAACAATTTTAATTTTTACAAAGCTTGCTTTCTAGCTAGCTTTTCTTAATTTGTATATTAAAGAAGTATACACTACTATGCTTTGTTTCCTTAACTCACTTTTCTGTTTTGAAGAATATTGCACAACCGTCCACATGCTTTCTCTCCTGCTCAGACATGATTTTGGCACGTGACTTTGGAGAAAAAAATCCATCATATCCACGCTCCTTCAATGCTGGCAGAAAGAGAGTGAAGTATTGCTCTGTTTCCACTTCCTGAGGTGAAAGAAAAGTTGTCACCGACATGACAGAGGAAAACTCTGATTAAGATATAAAAATGTTTAGCAGTGTAAAATGTGACTAAGTTAAAATAATTCACATAACAAGTATTATCTATCCTACCTTACCACTAGCAGCAGTCATTTGATAATGGCAGCTTTTAAACCTGAAAGAACATGAACTGCTGCATGATTTTTTCTTGCTTACCAGCTAGTTGGTCCCAAGTCTCTTTAGTTCCAATTCAGAGTTCATCCTACTATATACATCAGTTCCTCAAAACTGGTAAAATTGGACATATTATAGATTAAGCAGTAAGGAGTAGTAAATTTTATTTAGAGGGGTAATTTTTAAAATTATTTATCTTTCTCAACTGCAATGGAAATAAATGAATGATAGCCAAGACTGAGAAGTTTAAGATCAACAAAAAGTTCTACTTTAAGGAATTTTTAGGTACCAGAACACCAATCATCCAACGGCCTCTGTTAACCCAGTATTTTTGAGTTAGACTATTTTATTCTTTGACCCATAAAATACTTTTAATCAATCTTTCCAAATGAAATAATCAAATGTCAAGATAATGATTTATCTATGACGATGCTCATAACATGATTTTATAACAGTAAAAACTAATAAATAGCCTAAATGTTCAACAGTAGAGAAAATGCTAAATCAATAAATATATATTCAGATAATGAACTGGCTTTGACGAATTTTAGTAATATGGAAGTGCATTAAGTACAACAGTGTGATCTCAACTTTATTTTGGAAAATAGATCTGTAAATAAATAGGAAAGTGAATTTTAAAAAGTGTACAACAAATATTTCAGAAATTTTAACACAAAAACTATTTTTGGATTATGAGATTAGGTGTTTTCCTCCATCATTCCTTGTATTTTTTCAAAATACTCAATTTCTCTAGAATGAACATTTTATACTATAGTATCACCTTTAAAATAAAAAATACTTTTTATTTTTTTATTTTTAAAGATTTTATTTATTTGACAGAGACACAGTGAGAGAGGAAACACAAGCGGGGGGGTGGGGGAGGGAGAAAGAGGCTTCCCGCCAAGCAGGGAGCCCAATGCGGGGCTCGATCCCAGGACCCTGGGACCATGACCTGAGCCAAAGGCAGACGCTTGATGGCTGAGCCACCCAAGCGCCCCAAAAAATACTTTTTAAATTATGTTTTTATCCTTCAAACTATACTTAGAAGAATGTGAGGCTATCGTTACTACAAATACTAAAAAAAAAGAGGACAACTAAGTAACTACCTTTGTTTGCCTCCTTCTCCGCCAATTCTATGTCAGTTCTCAGTGTTTAGAAGAAAATTTAATTTTAAAGATTTTTATTATTTCCCAGGAAGTCATATGAACCACAGACAACATAAATTATCAAGCTACTCTAGTACAAAAAATTATTTAAAAAGTAATACCCTCCTCCTCAGGCTATACTAAAAAGCAGCTATAAAATTCTAATACTTAAAATACCTTCATAAACATGTAATATGCTTTGAAAGTTGCTAAGAAAAAGTTATTAAATACTACCTAGAAACCTTGGCTAGTTGAGTGCTGAAGTGCTGAAATACGTATTTCAACAAAAAGGTGTTTCTTCAGTTAAATTTATTATAATAAAGTGTTATAAAACAGAAAGTCTAAATTTCAGAGACAGTTTTTAAAATAATGCAAAAATGCATGACTTACAGCACAATATTTTTAAATGTTTACAATGTTTATCATTAAAGAACAGTGGACAAATAATTTTTTTTAAAGATTCCATCGTAAGTTAAATTCACATTCTTAAAAGACACAATCTTCTGCAGTTTTCCCTTTCAACAATGCAAGTGATCTGTTCATAAGATAAACTGTTAACATGACTAATGGATGAGATTATTTTCACTTAATAGTAAATGAGTATAGGTGGATGGCTGTACTTAGCAAAACAGTTCCACTGTGGACATGTCTTACCTGCTTATTAAAATTGCCCTTTTTAAGAGAGAAAACAATTCCTTTTGAGTTCTGTTTTGAACACAGACTCTCTCTCTCCTGGAAGTAAGATCTATTAAGTTCACCTTTAAGTTTCAGACAATTTTTTTTTTTTTTAAGATTTTATTTTTAAGTAATCTCTACACCCAATGTGGAACTCAGAACTCACAACCCCGGAATCAAGAGCTGCTTGCTCCACCAAGTGAGCCAGCCAGGTGACCTCAGACAATTAATTTCTATAGTGTTACCTGAAGACTAATGATATCTGCATCACAGTTAACAATTTCTTCCATAATTCCCTTTTTCCTGTATTCCCAGTTTAATGCCCAGGATGGGCAATAGCCGTATAGCTGCCGGGTGGCGTATTTATCACATAACACATTGTAACACATAACCGTGAATGATGCTAAGAAGTGGGAGGAAAAAAAAAAGACAAAGGGAGAAAATTAGGCAAGTTTTTCAAAAAGAAGTATCATGTGTATACCTGCACAAGCACAGATGGCACACAAACCTGTCCCAAATATCATCATTGTGAAATGCCTTTTCGGCAAAATTCTGTTAAACTGTATCTACTAAGACCTCATTGGAGTCCATCACATCCAAGTTCTTTCCCTAGAATTAGACTTAGAGTTCATATTTTAGATTTTTAGGAAATTTATTTTAATAAAAATTCAAATTACAAGTCAGAATGCTAATTTTTTGCACATAATTTTTTGAGCAAAGCTCTATATAAGTGGAACAAAAGTGAATTTTAGTTTTGTCCATTAAAAGACTCTAACTTCATCAATTTTTATTAACAAAATACCCACTACTTAATACTTTTGGGAGCCTCTTACTGCTCTTATTGCTTTAAGCCAGAAGGATATGGACTAACAAAAGTTTAGTTATAAGAGAATCCTTTTTGCCAAATCATATAATCATTTCTGAAACTAAATTCTCATTTTAAAATGCCCTTGAACAACAAAAGAACTGTGAACAAACTAACAGGAGAACAAAGTTTATAGCCTTGCTACCCAAAAATGTGCTTGAAGACCAAGAGCATCAGTTATCACCTAGGAACTCAAAAATGCAGACTCTGGTACCACAAAGACCTACTAAATCAGAACCTGCAGGCTGACAAAATCCCCAGGTGATGCACATGGACATTAGTTTGAAAAGCCCTGATTTTTATCAGTAATTCTCTATCCAGGCTGCCCATTAGAATCACTCTGTACAGTGTTTTTTAAACGTGCTCATATCCAGGGCCCTGCTCAAGACGAAATAAGTTAGTGTATTTAGGGTCTAGATATTAGTATTTTTAAAAAGCATCCCAGATGATTATAATGGGCAGGTATGGTTGTGAATCACATACTTAAATAAAAGGTGAGGAATCCAAATAATGAAGTAATAATACTCGATTGAAGTTGGTTAAGATTTAGATAATGGGGAAAGTATTAAGAGAAACTCAGTTCAATGGTCCCCTGGGGATCAAACCGGAGGCCATTTTGTACACTCTTCACTTTTTCACTATCTGGTACTGATTCTTACAGTTTTGTAGCTATAAATCGTAAGTTATTATACACATCTCCCTACTCACCAGAAGTAAAAGCCATTTTATTTAGCACTCAGATTCTACTTAGGAAAGTACAACACATCCCAAGGAAAATCCATACTCATTTTTCAATAAGGAAAGCCCAAGAACACATTACTTTGAGAATTCAACAACTGATGAAATCATGTTTCTGTTGTTCTTTTTCTTAATGAAAATGTACATATGCAGTATTAGGAAAGCTTTTCTTCAAGATTATGTTTACCAGTGCTCAAGAGAGGATTACTTTGAAGAACAAGAAAATGGCGTTTTTAAAATCAGAAAGGGAACCAATTAATTATGCATTAGGGAAGGCTAAACAAAATAAATCCACCTAAGTTAAGGCTTTGCAGAAAACCTTAAATATTCCTTTTACTCAGACCATCAATGTGCATCCTGTTAATAGAAGTGTTGCTCATGATGGAGCACTGACACAGTGCCTCCTAGAAATTCTAGGCTTGACTCTAACAGTGTGGTAGTTTTAAAATTACTGCCTCTGGAAGACACAGAAATGTACTGTATATGCTGTTATTTCTCAGTGTTATTAAAATGCAAAAGAACCATGAAGATGTTACACTTCCTACATTGCCCAATTTCAAAGCAAATAATTTTTTCTGAATCCTCTTACTTTAAAAAAGCACACAAACAGAAGGACTTTAAAAGTACGTAAGTTCTGTGATTTACCCTTTAAAAATTACTAAGTTGTCAGTATTCAGTGACTGATCCAAACTTGGTATTAAAACAATAAAATTTTCATTTGTTAATTTTAAAATGAAATTAGGTATAATGAAAACTTACCCTTATGATTAAAAAGAAGGCATTTGGAGAAATACTAATTCACAACTTAAGTAGAATTCCCAATCCTAAAATGTCTAATAAGCAGTAAGAAGCACTATAAATGATATCAAATCATTACTAGACTCCACAAAGAGATAAAGGTTTGTATTTTCTACATTACCGCAGTTCTAGAAATGCTAAACTATATCCTTAAATTGCTCACTCACACTCTACCATTTCTACACCACTGGCCCGGTATCATACTTTGTTTCCAATATAGCAAATACAGACTCAGTCTAAATTATTCTTTCGCAAGTGTTACCACTCTACCCACTGAAGAAAGATAAAGTACCCAAGTAGTTTAAAATTTTCAGAAGAAAATTCATTATTTTTCATTTTTTCTTTTTAAGTCACCAATACCCTGTGTGAAGAGGCCATTTGGAAGGCTTTATTTTCTTATTTGGAAGGCTTTATTACAAGGAATAATTGTAAAACCAAGAGCTACATCACTGTGAAAGATAGAGGAGAATCCTACACATGGCCTTAAAGTGGGTTTTATACTTTCAAATCTACCCGTCAGTATTTTTTGAAACTCATCTACCTTGTGGACATAAAATGAAGGCTAGTTATAATTGTATCACAAAGCCCAAATGGCATTTCAAGTATTTCTGAAAAAAATCAAAGAAAAATAAGAAAAACTTTACCTGATGGCAGAATTTGGTCTCGTTCTTTTAATGTAATCCATGGCCTCGGAGGAAGCTGCTCTGGATGAACTGGGGGGAGGAAAAATCTTTTTTACACATAAGTTAACTTCATGTGCTTCTAAAATTAGTATCATTTACTTTATAATGTAAAATCAACTTCTGTTTTCTCTTCTGCTATAATGGCCCACAACTGACTTAAAAATCTAACACTGAAATATAAATAAGATTTAGAAGCCAAAGGAAGTTTAAGGAGACCTATGCAGAAAATACGTAACGAACATATGAAAAGAACATTAGGAAACTCATTATTGGCATTTCCACTTACACAGTATTTATGAGAAGTACCTATTTAAAACCTTAAATAAGATGAGGGCGCCTGGGTCGCTCAGTCGGTTAAGCACCTGACTCCTGATTTCCGTTCAGGTCATGATCTCAGGGTCTTGGAATGAGCCCAGCCAGGGGCTCTCCTCTCAGCAGGGAGTCTGCTTGGGATTTTCTCCTTTCCCTCTGCCCCTCCCCCTGCTCACACACACTCTAAAATAAATAAAAAATCTTAAAAAAAAAAAAAAACACAACCTTAAGTAAACTCTTATGTCTTAATTACAAATGTAAACAATGTAAATTTCCCTACTGGCAAATCAAAGCTATGTAAAGTTCCAAAATACTAATAAACTGAAATATTCAAATATCTTTAAAATAGAAAAAAACACATGTGAATGCATAATAGAAATGAATGAATTTTATAATGGGGCTTTCATTTCCTAATTTTAAACTTTATTTTATAACATCCATGTAAAAGAAGAGATTAGAACTACATTATACAGAAAAAAGTAAGGCACTGGTTAAACATTAATTACTCAGATATGGTTATCAATACCATTGAACTAAAAGCTACCCAACTATCAGATGAGAGAAAATTCACTAAGCTAAGATTTAACTTCGCTTTTACTTTTTCCTTTTAAGAGCACTGACAATTACAGGACAATTAGATTCTAAGTTTGCAGATTTTCCCAGGGAATGCAGTGGCTGAGAAATGTATTCCTTTAAAACAAAACACTCTTCATCCAGGCACAGAAATTTTGACCAGAGTATTTAAGATCTTTAAAAGTTTCACTTTACTAACCATTTTGGTGTTCCAAAAGCCTATCTAAAGGATACATGTTTTAACATCCACACTTTTCATTATTTTGCATAGTCCATATCTCGCCAGGAAAGGAATGAAGGTTATCATAAGATGACAAACCATCCAGCTGAATCAACATATTGAATCCTGGAAAAAATCATGCCTGCCAGGAGTGCCATGCCACAATCATCACAACTATCTAAAAAATGGAAAGCCCAATATATAAATACAATGAAGTATAAATGAACTTTCTAGCTGTTGGGTTCCTTATCAGCAAATGGTTAAAAATTCAGAAATCAAAAAATCCTCAGAATAAAACAAATAAGGTGATGCTGACATTCTGGTGCTTCCCAAAACTTTACTAATATATTTTAACTAATACATCACAATATATCAGTATAAGTAAAATGCATAGTATTCACCAACAATATCCAAAGAGCCAAAACCTTATCTCACCAGTAACCAGGAAAAATAAAAAGATGAGAGAGCATGTTTTTATCCAGGTTGTCCCCCAAATTTTAATATATCCAGAACTGATAATGGTGATAAGATATGAATACTTGCATATATAGTTGGTAAGAATATAAACTGGGAGCTATCTGGGAGGACAAGCTGGATCATCTTTTAAAATTTAAACATCCATGTCCCTGTGACTCAGCAATTCTATTTCCTGGGATCAGCCCTATCTGCTTAAAGAAGCATTCAAATAGATATTACACTATTGTTTATAACAGCAAAAACAAGGGTAAATGGCTAATATCCATTTTATAGAAGTCTATGCTATAGTTTAAGAAAAAAAGGACAGATACATGTGTGCTAAAGTGGAAAGCTATACAAGAAATACTGAGTGAAAACAACTAGAAAATATATAATGATGAGGCACCTGGGTGGCTCAGTCAGTTAAGCGGAAGACTCTTGATTTCAGCTCAGCTCATGATCTCAGGGTCCTCGGATTAAGCCCTGCATTGGGCTCCCCGCTCAGCAGGGAGTCTGCTTGAGGATTCTCTCTCTCTCTGCCCCTCTCCCTGCTTATGCATGCACTCTCTCTCAAATCTTTAAATATATACATAATGATAAAATAGAATATGTTTATTAGAAAACATTTTAAAAACACACATGAATAGTAGTATCATAACATTTCTACTGGTATAATTTTTATATGTAAATGTCTATCAAAATATCTACAAGAACACACACCCAACTTACAAGTGTGTTTACTTACCATGGAGGGGACACGGAATTAAAGATATTGGTCAAAGAAAATTTTAGTCTTAACAGGAATTTTTATAAGGAGAATAATATATTCATGTGTGACATATACTTAAAATTAATGTTTTCTAAGATAAAACTGCAATGTCAGTGATATGACAAACCATCAAATAAAGACTGTTTAACAGATATATATATGGTCCTAGACACAGTACTAGAATTTGAATCAATATGGAAGTCTGTTCTCATGAATAGAAAAGAAGAGACAGCAGTTAACACAGTAATATGTCTCTCAGGATCATACCTAAAATGTGATAAAACATTTTTATCTTCCATACATGCCACACCAGGTGCCAGACAGTACTGCAACCAGCCCTGGAGCCATGAGGAATAGATTGGGGGCAGGGAGTAGGGCAGCAAGAAAATCCTGATTTCTCTGGCCAGTGAAGCCAAAAAGGAGATGTACAGCAAGTATTAGGTGGGAAACACACTTAGTGGCAGTGGTAATCCAACATGCTAATGGCAATCTAACAGAGCCCAAGAGAGACAACCCATGCCAACACTCCAGTAACCAGCAGCATTGGGCCTGGTTTGCCCACAGTAAGGGTGTCAGCTGAGCCTGGAAGAGCTGACAGAACCCACATACTAACCCTAAACTGGGCAACTGCCTGCTAAAATTGAGATTTAATTTTAAAAGGATCAAGAGTCTCCAAACATAACATTCAAAATATCCAGGATACAACTGAAAATCACTGGTCATACCAAAGACCAGGAATTATCACAAATTAAATGAGAAAAGACTATCAACAGAGACCAACACAGAGAGGATTCAGATGTTGAAACTGACAGAGATTTTAGAGCAGCCATCATACAGCTGTTTCAAGAATTATAAATTCTCCTGAAACAAATGAAAAAATAAAAAGCCCAAAGAAGCGTAAGTTCTACTTTTTTGAAAAGATCCAAAATGAAATTACTCAACTGAAAATACAATAATCAAGTAATAAAACTCACCAGAAGGGCACAAAAATAAAGATAACCCAAAAAAATGAGTGAATCTGAGTATTTCATTTGAACAGTTAAAAGGAAAATAAACTGGGCGGGAAAAATGAACAGAGCTTGAGAGACCTGTGGCACTGTTAACAAAAACTCTATGACTCATATCATCAGAGTCCAGAAGGAAGAGAAGAAAGAGCATGGGCTTAAAAAGTATTCTAAGAGATAATGACTAAAATGTCTCAAATTTGGTAAATGACATAAATCTACAAATGCAAGAAAGTGAGCAAACTTCAAGTAGAATAAACCCAAAGAAATCCACACCAAGACACATCATAAACTGCTGAAAACTAAAGACAAAAAAAAAAAAAAAATCTGAAAAACATCAAAGAGAAAAGACACATTACCTATCAGGGAACAATGGGTTTCTTTTCTGAAACCATGGCAGCCAGAGGAAGTGGCACATTTTCAAGTGCTGAAAGAAAAGAACTGTCAAACCACAAATTCTGTATCCTGCAAAAGTTCCCTTCAAAATCAAGGGGAAATTGCGGCACCTGGGTGGCTCAGTCGGGTTAAGTGTCTGCCTTTGGCTCAGGTCATGATCTCTGAATCCAGGGATCCAGTCCCTGCTCAGCAGTGAGTCTGCTTCTCCCTCTCCCTCTCCCCCTGCTTGTGCTCGCTTTCTCTTAATAAAGTCTTTTAAAAAATTTTAAAAAAAAAGAAATCAGGGGTAAATAAAAATGTTATAAAAGGAAAACCATGAAACTTTGTTGTTAGCAGACCTGCCCTTAAAAAATGGCTAAAGGAAGCTCTCTAAACAGAAAGGAAATAATAACAGAAGAACTGGAACACCAAAAAGTAAAGAACAAGCAGTAAAATTAGGGGTAAACGCAATGTATTATCCTCTCCACATGAGCTTCTTAAATCCTATCTGATAGTTAAAGCACAAATTATAACATCTGTGTGGTACTCTGTGCAGGTAAAGGAAATATTAGAGACAATTACATTTTTAAAAAAGTGGGGACTATGAAGGCACATAAATGGAAGTTAGGCAGCAATAATGCACTTGAAGTGATAAAACCATTATCAGTAGACTATGCTAAATATGTATATTGTGATATCTAGACCAACCACTAAGAAAAGAATTTCAAATCAGAACTCAAGGTTTCCCTTTTCACTACGTCTGTATCTTTGGGGTAAATGCCCAGTAGTATAATCGCTGGGTCATAGGGTAGCTCTATTTTAACTTTTTGAGGCACCTCCACACTGTTTTCCAAAGTGGCTGTACCAATTTGCATTCCCACCAACAGTGTAAGAGGGTTCCCCTTTCTCCACAACCTCTCCAACATTTGTTGTTTCTTGCCTTGTCAATTTTTGCCATTTGAACTGGTGTAAGGTGGTATCTCAATGTAGTTTTGATTTGAATATCCCTGAAATGCCCTTCAACAGACGAATGGATGAAGAAGATGTGGTCTATATATACAATGGAACATTACTCAGCCATCAGAAAGGATGAATACCCAACTTTTACATCAAATGGATGGAACTGGAAGAGATTATGCTAAGTGAAATAAGTAGAGAAAGTCAATTATCATATGGTTTCACTCATTTGTGGAACATAAGGAATAGCATGGAGGACATTAGGAGAAGGAAGGGAAAAATGAAGTGGGGGGGGGACACCAGAGGGCGAGCTCTATGTCAGATAAATGAATAAAATCTTAAAAAAAAAAAAAAACACAAAAAACACCAATCTCAAATA